TGTGTGGAAATCAGGTCACAAGCGTTTGTCAGCGCTGAATGTTTGCCCCGCTGCCGCATCTCTTACAAGCCGCCATTTTCACAACACACTTCAGCATCAAAGAAAGCTAAGGGAATATGATGATGTCTTCAACAAGTCTATTGAAGATCCAGAAGGGTTCTGGGGAGACCAGGCAGATGATATTGACTGGTATAAACCCTACACAAGGGTCATGGACAATAGTAATCCACCCTTTACAAAATGGTAGGTATACCTCTTTGTTGTTCGACAATGTCCTATTCTATCTGCGTTATGTACGTCCTATATGTATATGTGGTTGTTTTCTAGTTTATGTGTGCTTTGATAAAAAGTATGCTTGTAGGATGATGTGTATTAGTTTGTTTTGTTGAACTCTGCAGAGTGGTAATCAAGTGGCTTAGCGGTGAGGGAGGCGGGGGGACTAGGGTTAGGTGGTGGCCTAGGTGGTGGTGGGGGGTAGGGGGTAGCAGGAGTGGACAGGGGAAAATTTTGGGCCATTGGCAAAACAGGTTTAAAGCTTGAGTATTACAAACAAAAAGAGAAATGATCTCAAATTACTCCAGAACCATCTTTCAAAATAATTTTGGATACATTCATCATCTTGATAATGCCTATTTGGTTATTTGAAGGTTTGTCGGCGGTGAAATGAACACCTGTTACAACTGCCTTGACCGTCACATAAAAAATGGAAAGGGAAGCCGCACTGCCCTGATTTACGACAGTCCTTTGAGTGGCAAAATAGAAATGTACTCTTATCAGAACCTGCAGCGTCTGGTAAGTATATACATGTATACAGCCTGTACATGTAGCATGACAGTAATGAAATGCCAGAGAGATTGAGGGTTGGTCAACTCAGACTCCTATCAAAAATCAGTATTTAGTGTTATCCTATCCTCCTCTTTGGTATTGTAGGTTGAAAAGTTTGCTGGTGCTTTAGCAAGTCTAAATGTAGGGAAAGGAGACAGAGTGGTGATTTATATGCCAATGGTTCCTCAGGTAACCAAAATATTTTTCTAACTTCAATTCCCCCTACCACAGGGGAAAAAATTGAACCTCAACTCACCTGCTAATGGAGAAGAGGGAAATTTTTGCTCTACCCAACTGTACTTCATTCAAGATAATTTCATGATCCATGATGTTTCCATGAAAATTTCATGAAATCAAAGCCCAGTAATTGCCTGGATCTAAAGTAGCTAAAGTTCCAGGTTGGCTCTTAGGTTACCATTGAGATATACTGGTAATTAAGAGGGTTACTGAAGTGATAACCCCTGTACTCTGTGTTTAGCATTATTTGATTACTTGTACCTGCATATGATTGGTTTTGTGTGTTTTTTGATAGGCGGTCATTGCCATGCTGGCTTGTGCCAGGCTTGGAGCAGTTCATTCAGTTGTGTTTGGTGGTTTTGCTGCCCAGGAGTTAGCAAGAAGGATTGAGCATGCAGAGGTACAGCTCAACTTTTGCTGTTATTGTTTTTATCACACCATGTCCAGAAAAAAAGCTTTATTGGTCAATATGCAATTGATAATTCACAATAATAATTTATTTTAAGTCAAAAGAAAAAAAAATGATAATAATTATATTCAAACAAATGTTATCACATAAGATTATTATGGGCTCTCATAAAGTAAATCCAAATTATTTGAAAGTTAAAATATTTTTTTATAAATTTGTAAGTTAATTTTTAAATCTTTCTGATATATTCGCAGCAATTTTATTATGCTTAAGAATAGACTGAACAAGTTCAGATGTCAGCCTATCTGCCAGACCTGCCAGCCCCTGATCATGGAAAGTCTGGAGACTCATGAAGAAAAATCTGAGATTCTACAAAAAGGAGTGAGATTCTCATTTTTCCAGAACAAGATTAAACAAACCCTGTTTCCAGTGGGGGAGTTAATTGTTTATTTAAATATAACTTTGTTTTAGTACAGGACCCACTTGTAACAAGATGCCACTTTTTAGTTCTTTGATAAATTTTAGAGGCTGCGGAAGAGGTAATCACTGGATGAAACTTACAGTAAATGGTCATTTCTTCGGGATAATTAATAATATGATAAAGATTCTTCTTCTTCTTCTTTTAATAATAATAATAATAATAATAATAATAATAATAATACAGAGAATGTGGCATATGAAAACCGTAGTGATCCCTGTGGTTGTTGGTGCGCTTGGTACAGTGAAGTAGGGTATGGTAGAAAATATCAAGAAAGTATCAGAGAGAGCTAGTATGACAGAGATTCAAAAGATCTGCATGTTGGGATCTGCACGAATCCTTAGAAAGGTGCTCAGTGTATGAACAGAATGATTGACTTGAGTGACTGACGCTCTAGGTGTATGGTTTGCGCCCGGCTGATGCACAAAAAGAACACCAGCAAAGACTGTGATAATAGAGACAATAATAATAATATGCCCAAGATCAAAGCCAGTCCCAACACGCTGGTACCAACACAACTTTCTCAAGAAACCTGACGTGGACCCAAAATATAGACTGTGTGGCCGTTTCGACAAGACCATTGACCGCCTGGTCTCTGCCTGCCCTGAACTTGTTAAAACTGAATACATCCACCACCACAACAAGGCAGCTGCACACATGCACTGGACAATCTGCAAAGAGTTTGACATTGAGGTGAAGGAACGATGGTATGAGCATGCATGAACCCAAGACTGTCACCCGAGAATGACAGCGTCACTATTCTGTGGGACATGCCCATCCACACTGACAGGACCATAGCAGCTAATAGGCTGGACATTGTGCTAAAGAACAAGAAGGATAAAACCTGCCTTCTCATTGACATGGCTATACCCCTAAACAGCAACACCTCAGTCAAAACCATGGAAAAGCTTACCAAATACAAAGACTTGGAAATTGAGGTTGAGCGAATGTGGGGGCTTCAAACAACAACAGTCCCGGTGGTTATGGGAGCCCTTGGCACCATCAAGAAGGACATGGAAAGCTACTCCAACAAAATCTCTGGCAACATCAACATACGTGAACCCTCTGTGTTTCCCAAAGTCCATGGTTTGGACTTGGACGTTGAAAGAGAAAATCAATTGCAATCACACTAGTATATCTTATAGAATAATAATGGCAATTTCATGGCCAAAGTGCCATCAAGGCTTAAACAAGCACTAGCATTTCCCACAATTGTGAGAGTTGGCAGGTCTGGATTTTAGTTTGAAACATTGGGTGTTAGGTATACAGCTGTAATTTGATGGACATTTTGTCCCTCAGATTCTTTTTCATTGTGTGCTGATTAATAAACTTTTTTATTAGCCACGTGTAGTGGTCACTGCATCTTGTGGTATTGAACCAACACGTCTAGTGTATTACAAGCCTCTGCTAGATGAAGCAATAAGGATGTCAAGTCACAAGCCCTCTACTTGTATTGTCTATCAGCGAGATCAGGTAAAGTTATAAGATTAATCGTAGCTAGCATAAAAAGTTCAGAGAGAGTAGAGTATGTGGCATATTATTGGCGACAGAAAGGAAAAATTAACGTAAAGTTTTGTGAAAGAGGAAAAATTACTCTGCATGAAAAATCTGCTGCAAAGAGTCTTACAAGTTAGGATATTTAAGACTTCCCTGAAAACCACCTTGGAAAGTTTGGAATTATCATATATTTTGTACAAAAAATACATGTTACTGTTTAATCTTATTATACAATATTTTCAAGGTTAAAATCTTAAAAATCATATACACTAATCATCCGTATTGTTCAATTTTCTTTGTGTTCAGTGCTCAGGTGACATCATTCCAGGGCGGGATGTAACTTGGGACCAAGTAATGGAGAAGGCACAACCACATGATTGTGTTCCAGTGCTGTCAACTGATCCATTGTACATCTTGTACACATCTGGTACCACTGGTGATCCTAAGGTAACACAAAAACTTGAGATTTAGTCATTTTGTACATCCATCATTAGGGGCCAGGGATCTCCTGACTAATAGTTTTTACTGATGATCACTTTAATAGAAGTGAAGTTAAATTTAATTTTGTTTGAGATATGTCCAAGTTGATATGTTATTGGTTATGAATGGTCTCCATATAGCAGTATTGTAAAAATATAGTAATTATATAGTTAAAATGACATTTAGTCTTGCGATAACATAATAATTCCTAATGTCATGATTTGTGTGTTCAAAAATGTAATTTTAATTGATGTTCCTTGGCACAAATTGATCTGAAATAAACTGCAATCCCATAGTGCAGCCCACTTCTAGAAGACTGCACCTACACTGCAGATTGAAATCATGAAATTAAAATGTTTACAGGAGTGTCGCCACATAGCATTCAAATTAGGAAAAATGGGTAATTAAGTACACTGTATAATTTGACTTAAAAACCATATATAAGGGGCTAGGAATCAATAAACAGTATTGCTTGTATGGGTGAACATTTTGACTTTGAAGCTTCAAGGTCAAAGGAGACTTGAAACAATTTCTCTTACATTTTTCCCCTGTTTGCTTAGGGCATTGTGCGAGATAATGGAGGATATGCTGTTGCCCTCAACTGGAGCATGTTCAATGTGTATGGAATCAATCCTGGAGAGGTAACTATACTATAACCTACATGGTGTGGGTCCTTTATTTTCCAGTCCTCTGTGCCATATAGAAAGTAGGCCTTATTAATAAGGTAGGGCTGTTAGAGTTGCCACAATCGTCTGTAGTCTGTTCCCATTAGGTTACTTAATAACTAAGATTTTTTTTCCATTGGCAGGGCATGATTAATACAATGTAACTACATTGTAAATCTTTGTCTTTCCTGTCCACTAAAACTGTCTTATTTATATCAGGTTTGGTGGGCAGCATCTGATCTTGGCTGGGTGGTTGGTCATTCATATATTGTTTATGGACCATTATTGACAGGTTGTACCACAGTTTTGTTTGAGGTATGTTAAGCTTATAGACCCCTGTTGTACACTTCAGTAAAGATATCAATGGAATGTGTCTTAAAAAATACCATTCGCTTTCTTCACTATCTTTGTTTTCAGTTGTATAAAGCTGACTTCTGAGAAACTGGATGCTTTCTCTAGTATTCCTGATAACCTCCAGCACTTCCTTTTTTGCATATCTCTGTTGAAATAGAAGTTGCATTCATATTATCCTTTTATTTCTATGCATAGTAGTGTCAGATTGTGAATTCCTCAGTCAGTCAGTCTGACAGTCAGACAGTCAGTCTGTTATAAGTGACAGTCAGTCAGTTAGTTAGTCAGTCCATCATAAATCAGCCTGTCATTCATTCAGTCTGGCAGGTAGGCAGTCAGTCAGTCAGTCTGTCCATCCGCCAGTCAGTCAGCAGGGCAGGCAGACAGACAGGCATTCAATCAGTCTTTCAGTCAGTCAGTCAGCCAGGCAGACAGAAAGTCCATTGGTTTGTCAGTCATTCAGTCGGGCAGGTAGGCAGACATCTGTCCGTCCCTGCATCAGTCCGTCAGTCAGTCAGCCAGGCAGTCAGGACATCAATCAGTGAGTCAGTCAGTAAGTCGGTTTGCTAGCTATTTGGTCAGGCAGAATTGACTTGTGAAAAGGAGGTCACGACCCTTGTTCATTTAGAAATTAGCAGCAAATACAATGCATTCTTGGGCTAACTTTATCCGGCGGAGACTCGTTACATTTGAAAAGTCAAAAACTCGTAAGTTCTCAGACTTTACGACAGCACTGTAGTGAAAACAAAATTCAAACTTCTATTTTTCATGTATGTGGCACCTTACAAATATGGTACAAGATTCGGGGATTAAAAAGCAAGAGTGGTTTGCTGACAACAGAATTAGTTGGTGGTGGTGTTGAAACTTTTTTTTCATTTGACTTTTGATCATTCAAGAATTAATAGAAAAAAAAACAATATGCTTTCGGGATTTATTAGAGGCTTGAACTTTTAATAACAAAATGTTACCGTAAGCTTAAGTTATAAGCTTAACTTTGAGTTCCCAATTAGCCAAGGTTTAAATTAATAGCTATACCAACCTTCAGATTCTTCGCTCTGGTTTTGCAAACTTGTTTTTCTTTCTTCAATTCGTCTTTTGTCTTCTTTATTTCGACATCCTCTGTTGAAGACGATGAAAAACAATATGCGTCTTGGTGTTTACATTTATCCCCCTTACATTCATTGAGTGGCTGAACTGCTGTAGGAATAGTATGGCAGTGGATTACTCGTTTCTTCATTTGAAGAACTGGTTCCAGCTTTTTCATCAATCCAGAGCTGATAGATGGGCCAGTCTTCTGAAAGCAATCAAGAAAATGTTGTAAGCTTACTCAAGCTAAACAATTTTTCAGACTTATTTGTAGAAGAAGCTTACCGCTCTGGAAGATTTTTCTTGGCGTTCTACTTTAGCAAAGCGCATTTCTCTTCTCTTTAATATTTCTGTTCCTGTATTAAACTTTGAAAACACAAAACACAGGAAAGTTTGCGGAAGAGTTTGCTT